CCCCAAAACCCCAAAACCCCAAAACCCCAAAACCCCAGACCTATTTTCCATCGTTGAAATCCTCAAAGCCCCTTATTTTCCAAATCTTCTTGTTTTCTTGCTCTTAAAATCCCTTAACGGTTTAGTACTTCCCTTTCTATTTAGGTTGGAGCAGCTCTTTGTGAAAGTTTATTCTTTGATGGTAAAAATGGTAAGATCAGACCTGGAGAAGGATTTATAGGTGTAAACAGCAATTTGGCCGGTAATAAAAACTTTACAGATGGCTTTCTTTAAAATTGAAAAATCTACGTGTTGTACAAGAATGATAAGCAGCTACTCGCCTATTCAAAGAACTAGCTTTCAAGCTTTATATCGTCTTTAAGTAGAGAAAACAGCCCAGTAATTACAGGTATTGATCCAAGTCTTTACTGAAAAATCAGCTGATAATTTTAATGAAAACATCATCCACTGAATGAAAACAGACAAGACATAATAAAAGAGCTCCAGACTCCTAATGAACATCCAAAGTTTTGAGAATGATGAAGAAGTTATTCATCAATAACAGACTTCATTTGATTTCATAAAGATAGTGATAACATACTTTTAGTTTCATGACTTAACATCCAAATCTTGATAAAATAAAAACTAACAATAAATACTAGGCAAATTTAGAATGAACAGCTTAATGAATGAAGTTCCAGAGATGGGGATTTAGTTGCTTTCACTGAAATATTTTCAGGTATTGAAAATAGTCAACCATCAACAACTGCTGAACTCAAACCTTTCCAAAGAAAGAGATGTTTTCCAGACTCTAATTAAGCCAAGAGCCTTAGATTCCTATTACTAGCATTAAAGAAGTGGGCATTGCAGAATCTTTGGCTTAAAATAGTAGCTCCCAAACAAGTTATTGACAACAAAAAGTGTCCATCTTCTTCCTTGATCAAATTTCTTTTAAAATTGATCGGAGTGGAGATAACCTTCGGCTAAATTATCATGATGTCATTATTCGCTACCCGCTGACATATCGATCAAAGATAACGCTTCAGAATCGAAGGATGTTATTGTCGACGCAGACGAGCAAGAATGAATCAGGTATTGTTTGAGGGGCTTTACGTATGACCAATACCTGCTTGAAGAATAAGAAAAGCAGAACTTTTTTTAATAATTTTGAGCTAATTTCTTGGTTCGAAGTCCAAACCTGCTCTAACCGAAACGAGTTGTTTTCCCAGAATGCATGAAAGTCGTTTTAAAATTTATGAAGAATTATTACGCCTGTGAGTTTTCTTGTGCTTGACCAAGTTACCCTTCTGAGTAAAGCTGCGATCGCACTCATCACACTGGTAAGGTCTGATCCCGTAGTGAGATCTGCAGTGGTCCAGGAAGTTCCAGCTGCGTCTGTACTTTGTGTTACAAGTATCGTTGAACTTGCAGACAAATACGAAGTACTTGGTCTTGGCGGTCTTGGTCTTCTTCTGCACGATTTCGTATTTAAAGTTCATTAATTCTTTCATGAAGCCGATGTTGTTTCTGACTAAGAGAGTGTTAACCAGAAAGGCATCATCATCTGATAGTCCACAGGTTCAGTAATTTAAGGTATCACTGACATCCTTGGTTCCTTCTTTTTCTGATGAATGTTCAGGTACTGAAGGAGGTGATTCCTTCAACTTTGATGAACTAGATTTGCTTGAAAAATTAGCAGTCAGACAGTTTATATCTGCACTATGATGTGAAGTCTCTTCAGAGCATGACTTGTCAGGTGCTGAGCTTACAAGTTTTATGCACGAGTCAGTTTCAGCTATCGGCTGGGAATTCAGACTTTTATAAAGATCCATCTTTCCATGCTTCTGAGAAGAGCTCTGAAACACCTTGTGCTCATGATGTAACTGATGCTGTTCACATGACAATATAGCATTCTGGCCGACTCCACTGGTTTTCATTGGATCGAATTTAAGTGTCTCATTTCTCAGACTGTTCACAAATGCGTTAAGGCTTTGTTGGTTTTCAATAAGCTGTGCCGCCATCGAATGTGTTCTTCCAGAGGTTTGCTCCTGGGCAGTTGTTGGGATATCGTATTCAAATATCATTTATATTATATCTGTTTCATCATTACCTGTCTTTTATGGGGTTTTGGGGTTTTGGGGTTTTGGGGTTTTGGGG